ACCTAAATTCACATCCTCATAAAACATAAATATTAACTTGATTTCACGAATAAATCAAGAAAAAAATTCACATGTTTTGTTTATAAGAATATTTTAAATAAAAAGGGTACACAATCATATATTTTATTAAATCAAATATTTATACAATTGTGATTGCTTAATTTAAGGCTTAAAAAATCGTGTCTACAGAATCAATTAAAGCCAAATCCTGGAATGGAACTCTTGAACTTTCGTAGAATGCATATTTCCATGGAAAGACAAACGCCCTAATATATGAATTCAATCTCTCTAAAATTGCCTGTGCATTCAAGTTTGACTGTCAATAATCCATTATTGTCGTTGTAAGTGAACTCTTCTTCTTTCATGTCCACCCTGCAAAAGGTTGGTTTAGTGTTGGAGTAGGCTCCAAACCGGCCACCGCCTCGGCCATTGACTTTGACTGTGCAAGATGAAACATCGATAATGCAGTTTACAGCTTCGACTGCTCCTCCCGAGTTGTACATGTCAAGCAATCCTATCGGAGAAAACTGAAGATTCTGACCAAAAACCTGTTACATGATAAATCACCCTGGTTCTGAGTAGACTTTACAGGAAGATAACATAATGGTAAAGCAAGGAGGTCAATTTACTGACCTTAATTGGAGAGATGGTATATATCTCGTATTTTAGAGTGGTCAAGGACACTTCAAGAATCCCTTTCTTTGGCAGCATGGAAAGAGATCCTGCAACAGGAAATAATTCACCAGAAATTCTAGATAAGTTGGTTTTGGATGCAGAGTATCTGATAAGATCAAGAAAATGACGGATTGGAAAACTAACCTGAATTGAAAGCATAGACTGCACAATCTCCATTCCAATCTTCACCGGCAATATCGTCGAGAAATTCAACATCAATAGGACTCACATGACCTGAAAGGGATAGAGGCCCGGAAGGCACAGCTGGTATTTCTTCAGCTTCTTGTTTCATGGGCCATCTTCCTGCTCCTTGGCAATTAAAAACACCGATGACCCCAGTTAACTTGTTCAAGTTCCATATCTTCAACAAACTACAAAAGAGTTGAAAGCACAAACTGATTAGTACAAGGCCAGATGGATGTTTACTATTGACACACTTGGGATTGTAATCTGGGATAGCATGTTCACCTTTTCGCATCCATGACAGGATCTTCAAATAAGCAATCTCTTGTGGGACGGCCAGCATGTCTAGCTCTCAGGATAGACCCATCAGGCAACACGAGCTTCTTAAGGATTTTGAAGTCATGAATGCCTGGCTTGTCACTGTATTCATATGAAATAATAAAATATTTTTGCAATGAAAGGTATGTAAGAATTGCATAGATTTTTCCAGGAGATTCAAAAATCAAAAGAAAGAAGGGTCTTAATCGTTTTGCCTCACCTTACATATACTGCACATCCACCCAATGCTCTTGCAGCACCATGGAAGTCAGCAGTATCATGTTTACTCTGAAAACCAAGAATGAATATTACTTTTGTTTCTGTAACGTTAAGCTTCATTACTATTTCTCATTAAAAAAAAACAAAGAAAAGAAAAGAAAAGAAAGTTTCCACTTCTATTTGTAATTAATTGTTATAATACCTATGCTTAATTTTTTTTAGCATCTGGATACAAAAATGATGTCTATTTGTAATTTTTTTTTTAAATTCTGTTCACTGGGTTTCAACTGCGGACAGTTTCTGTAATACAAAGATTTTCATTCATGCAACTCATGAAAATTTTGATAATTATACCAGGTTCCATGCATGATACAGAATATTCAACTACATGTTTATTAGATATCATTTTCGGAATATGCAAGATATCTTACATGGAACATGTCCCAGTCTGGAACAACAATCTCCCCAAGAAGAAAGCTGTTGAAAGCTACAGAAGCAATGTGCAAGGTCTGAAATGTCGGCTCTCTTGGCATGAAATCCTCTGATGCTCTTGCAATTGCACTTCTCTTCGAACTGTCAACAAATATTCACTCTAATCAGAATTACAAGACAGTTCTGCATATAACTTGGCGTTGCATATTTTAAGATTCAAAAGGCAGGAAAGATGAAAACCTGTAAATTGAGTCAGAGTTGTGACTCATGCAACAAATTAAATTATTTTCTTTAAAGTTTCTTGAAATAGATTTCTCAAGTGCTTCCTGATACTGTCTAGTCAACATCACTCGACCTCCACATCCAGAACCTAAAGTTTCAATCAGATTCTGGACGTCCACCTTGACTCCGTCTACACCATTGCTTGCCAGATAGCTATGAAGATCATTGTAGAAATCAAATATCTTACTGGGATCAATGACTCCAACTCCATATTTCTCCAAGCTGTCCATTGCAATGTCTCTCATGTTCCCCACATTACCAGGTGACTGAATTGGATA